ATCATCATCATCCCTAAACCATTAGCATCATCCCTAAACGATTATCACCATCCCTAAATCATTATCATTATCCCTAAATCATCATCTTCATCATCCCTAAACCATTATAATCATCCCTAATCCATTATAATCATCCCTAGCTTCATCATCATCCTCATCATCATCCTCATCATCCTTAAATGCCCCCTGAAGTAAGTCATTATGATGCTGCCCCTATATGAATATCATTATACCTGTACTCATTATACCTACGCCTGTACTTGTATTAGGTTACTGTGTATTAGTGTATGTCTGTATGTGGACTCAAGACCTCAACCTGTACTGATACTTTTAATAAACGTAGTAAATCTGTGTTTGTATTTTATATATTATATGTAAATTACCTGATCTATACTACATAATACGAGAATATATATGAAATCAGTATATAGATTATCTGGTCTATATTATCTACGTCTATACTTTTAGTGTCTCTGTAGCAGACACCACAGCTTCTACTCTTACCTTTACATGAGACAAATTACCTGTAGATTAGCTCCCCCTGATTATTTCTTTTTTTAGGATTAAACACCTTTACACTATCGGGGATGAGGAGGGTTAGGTTAGGTTAGGTTAGGTTACATTTGCGTTGGGTGTTATAACTTAAAAGTGAAATAAGTTGTAGGGATAATCTTCAGGTGATCCCGGCAGTAATAAACTCAACACATATATAGCCACACCTGTACACTATCTCACTCTTATATTTCTAAACCAACTTGCAGACTACATATCGACTCCTCACCTGAGGCGAGAGACACACACACACACACACACACACACACACACACATTCATTCCCAAAACACAGCCATCCTCGCCTCCCAACCTTCGGCATCTTCTTCCTGCCTCTTCTTGAGAGATGGGAGACTCCTATAGGCGATTTCCTGCTGCAGGAGAGGGAGAGCAGAGACGTTCCTGCTGGAATATGCTTGGATCTTAGCATGGGCGTGCTGTGTGGGCAGCATTGTGTTTACTTGGGGTTTGGTGGTGTGTTGGTGTCTGTGTGTGTGTGTGTGTGTGTGTGTGTGTGTGTGTGTGTGTGTGTGTGTGTGCGCATGGATGGTTGTCAATAGGTATATATTTATATCTAAACAATCGTCTTCAATCTCAGCTGCTTCAGATGGCTCTATGAATGTGTTTTCTGACTGACTGAGAGACATGTAGCCTTGTTCTCCTTCCTTTACTACTAAGAGATCTGCTGTTTACTTTATGTATTAAAACGCAATCATTACAAAGTTACTTAAAGCACAAACACGACCATTTGTGACCTTGACCTTTGACCTCCAACATTAAATAACTTTTTCCTTGGTCAGTAATCAACCCATCTGCCAAGTTTTATCAATATCTGTCCTCCAGTTGTTGAGATATAGTGTGGACAGTCTCACACACGGACACATGCAGCGAAAACAATGACCCCCCGCGACCTTGTGGGTGTTGTTTCATAAGACTTATTTATTTATTCTAACATTAATGAACTCTTTTTGGGTCAGAGTTTATACTAATGAGGATCTCTCTCTCTTTCTCTCTCTCTCCTGTCCTGTGATAATATATTTCTTTCATCCCAGTCACACTTCTCTCTCTCTCTCTCTCTCTCTCTCTCTCTCTCTCTCTCTCTCTCTCACTCTCACAGTTACCTAACCAGACTGACAACCTCCCGTAGAACAGTTACGTAAACAACAACAAACGACTCTAAAGCTAGCCAGTTCGTCATCTGACAGCGGAAGTGGGTAGTTAGCGAGCCTTCCTACCCCGGCGCCATGTGGACTTAAAAGTTCTGCCACTAATAGTCCTTAATTAACTCGCCTAATGCAAAGATAATCAACAAAGGTAATTTACGACTAATAAACAGGTTGGGGAAGGAAGGAAGAAGGGAGTCATGTGAAAACAGGTAGGAGCTTAACTGGATAATGACTCTCTTTTTTTTTCTCTCTCTCTCTCTCTCTCTCTCTCTCCATTAAAATATGAGAAAAAATACAACACTAAAATTTTCTTCCTGTGAACCATTACGGCAATAACTGGACAAGGTAACTCAACTATGGTCAGGGTCATAAGTAAACCTCTCCTTCTTACTCTGAGTCTGTTCACCATTACAAATTTTATTTAGAATTAACTGTACAATTTCAGATTTAGACTAAGGTTGATGTTTTCTCATTAAAGTGGTGCCTTAATTTAGATAAAAGACATGAATAGAAGTGTATTTACAATGAAAGACACTTTTAAAGTATTCCAACCTAACTATACAGACATATAGACGTGAAGGAAATGTGTATTCGTACTTCAAAAGATACTTAGTGCAGTCATACATATACATAGATCAGACACA